TTTTTGTGCCAAAATCGATTGAATTTTTTGTTTATATGCTGAAATAAACAATTCACAGCACAAAAATTTCTTACAACATTCAAAAAATATATGGAAAATTGTCGTAGGAGTTGTATACAGCGTTGCCGTTGGAACATTTTGAAAAGCCGCACAAAAAGAGAATTTTTCGGAAAAAAGTTGCACAAAAAGGGGATTTTGAAAGCAAAAAGTGTCAACGTATTTAAAATCATTAAATGTGTATTATATTGATAAATATGTAAATCAAAATAATTAACGTCATTGCATCTCCCATGCTCACTAAACTAATATATTTCTATAAAAACCTAAATAAAATCGTTGATTTTATCAATTTTCTATTTGTAAACATATTATTTCTATAAAATGTATGCGCTCATGGCTTAACCGCAACTTCTAAGATCTTTTTATAGAATTTGGCACATCTCGGTCCAAATACGAAGCCTATTGAAACAGATCCATTATTTCACATATCCTACATATAACCGTGGAACTCATAATGAGTATCTCTACAAAATCGGCTCATCATAATTTTATATGCTAAGTCTAAATGATAGTGCCGATTTTCGCCTTATTTGACCCTAGCCTGTTGCAGAAAATTGCGTAAAACCATCTACCAAAAATTATTTATTTTATTTATTTATTTATTAAACAATTCTGTAATAGAAAAGCCTTCATGGTCAATAAAATATTACAATTGATAACATATGAGTGACTTTAATAGTAACCCTTAAATTTCTATGTACATAGTTACATACATATATATAAATTCTATATTAATACATATGAATATAAGCAATAATTTCTTAAAACTAATGTTTTATTACTAAACAGCTTCAAATTTGCAACAAAAAACTTATTAAAAAAAAAATTTTAAGTGAACATAGGTCTATGTCAATAATGGATCATCAAATATTAAATCAATTTTGGTTCCGATTAAAATATTCTGTTAATCTTTTTCGATAAATGTGATGTGAAAGAGAAAACACTCGTAATTCATTCGGTAAATGATTCCAATTACGTGCAATTGTAATGAGAAAGGATCTTTCAAAAATGAAGTTAGGACCATATTAAACCCTTGTTACTATATAATCCCTCTTTCAGTTTTTTTATTTATTTATAATCGGAATTAAGGTAAAAGCAACTTCGATGCTTTGTTATAAGAACTAATATATTTTATTATATGTTAGGCCATTCCCGACTATACATTCTTACTTGTTATTTCTTTCAGTGATGTTTTCAAGTCGTAATAATTTTACCGCGGACAATTTTTATCTTTGCTAAACATATACACGAAATTTTTATTATACCCTTTATTTCAGCATCACAATATGACCTATAATGCTTCATATGTTCGTCTATCCGAAATTTTCGAAAGATTCGCAGGTCATAGTCATGAATATTATTTGGAAAATATTCAGAGTTTTCACTTCTTTGAAAATTTAAAAGTGGCTATAAGATTTTTAATGTTGAAGTCTGGTTTGGTAGGATTATTAAAAAAAAAATAGAAATATAAAAATGTGTTTTATTCAAAAAGGGGGCGAAAAGTGCATAGAAAATACCAACAACATTGTTATGACTATTGTAGCAGCGGCTGACATACAACGCTACAACATCGATTGTGAATTGAACAAATGTAATTTAAAGCTTATCATTAATGCATTTTGAAAATATTACTGTAATATAAAAAGTTTTGTCAAAAAAGTTTCAAACGAAGTACATAGTAGAAAAATAAACTACCTCACCTGAAAAATTAATATAAATTGTTTATTTACATTTTCAAATGTTAAATACGAAAAATATTTGTTCCAAATACAGGGACCAAATTACCTTATACGAGATTGAATAAGCCTTCCTACCGGAAATGAAATTTAGCTAGAATGTACTAGATTTCTTGTTCGATATCGAATGCTATAACCAAAAAAAGAAAATTACAATCAATTTAACTTGATTACGTATACAACAATGCGGATCCACGTTTTTTCAACAACAACTTTTTTCAATAGGGGGGTGTTGGAAATACACGACAGATTTAATTTTTTATTACCGGACTTTCACGAAATAGAAATTATATTTGGACAACATGATAAAGAAAAGCCGTTTCGTGTTTGTACCTTTGGATCAAGGAATCCCGCTCCAAAAATAAATTTGGACAATTCTGACCATGTGAACTAACAATTTTTTGTATGACAATATTGTCAAATAAAATGATTGTCAGATAATTGTCCTACAATTTTCTTTCAAATATCTTGTAACCGGATGCTCCGGTAGGCTTTCTGGTCCTGTTTCAGATTATAAGTCTGAATTTGTGTGTTCGGTAAATTTGGTTTGAATATAATTTGTAATTGTATTAAAATTGAAAATGGTAAATATCTTGCAACCGTGTGACATGACAATCTACATTGTGGTAAACATTTTTTATTGTCAGATGATGATGCTTGTTCTAACAATATTGTTAGATCTGTTAATCGCTTTGATTGAATAATTTTACATATAAATATTTTTTATATTAGAGTAATAATTCGTTCAAAACCTATATTGACCAGAACTATGTTCTGAAAATGAAAACGCAGTTTTATTATATAAGTAAGACCACTAGTATAATGTGTATATGGTCTCCCTCAAGTCCAATAATTGCTGCGCATGAGAAAATCGCTACATTCTGTAAGAATTATTATTAATTGACCACCTTCTTTAACAGGTACAGGATGCCATATATTCGGTCATGACCGAATTCTTTCTTGTTTTGAATCAATAGATTGTAATTTTTGATATAAACTTGTTTCTATTGTTATATTGGACTTTGTACATGTAAATGGCAATGGATAAATTAAACACATTTTTAATTTAAATAAAATAATTACAACTGCCTGTAAAATAACAATTGTTTGCACAAAGTTAGTTTCTTCAATATTTCCTAAATAAATTAAATAAAAAAGACTAATTATGTATCACATTTTTATATTATTTTATTAATACCACCTCTTAGGAATAATGTTGGCTGTAAATGTGTTATTAAATTAAATAAATAGTAAATAATTAATTAATTTTAATGTCGGCTTAAAAAATGTTGGTCTAAAAAATTTTTAAGTGATAAAAATTACTTTTCTGATTTGATTGCAATTCATAGAACTGTAAATTTAAAAAAAAAAAGTTGTAAGTAAAGTTTGCTGCATCGTTATCTACCTCACTTTGTATTTAGTAATACCCCGTTCAGACGATGCAATTATTCGTCGATCACACTCTTATTCGTTATTCAACCCCAAATTACAAACTGAATTACATAATTGGCCATACAAAATTTCTGCTGCGAAATACAAAAGCTGTTCGTAATTCAGTTTGAATTACCTACGAATTACGAATGAATGAGTGACATCTCTAATTTTTATCGGATATTTATCATAATGTTTGTATTCATTGGTTGGAGAGAAAAAATAGAATTACAAAAAAAAATTGAAAATATTTTACTTAATTTGTTAAAATAATGTAACAAACGTATGTATGTATCTACATATGTATGTATATTCCAAAAAATAATGAATAAAAAAACAACATGGCGATGAACAGTCAAAACGAATTACGAATGTATCGTAGAAACGGGTTAATTGGCTATTGTAATTCAAAGTCCGAATAAAGTAATTCAACTGTTCGTGTGAACTTGGTATAAGCTCTGATAGTATCGTAGGCGAATTCACTGTTTTTTTACAGGGAGTTTGACAATTTTCTGGCAAGGGATATTAATTATAAGATAGTGTTAACAGAACAGCTAATTGTTTTTTGCTTATACACTTTTGTTTTTTTACAAGTAGTTTGGTAGCGTGCTGGCAATTTTAGGTGTAGGCATACCGTCAAACTCCAAATCGATAATACCAAGTTCACGCGGATAGTTGAATTCTTTAATTCAGCCTATGAAATATAATAGCCAATTAACCCGTTTCCAAGACACATTCGTAATTCGTTTTGAAAGTTCATTGTCATGTTCTTTTTTTCCGTTCATTATTTTGTTATTTTTTGGAATACATATATGTGTATGATACAAAAATACGTTTGTTAGATTATTTTAATAAATTTGTAATTTTATTTTTTATTCGTCTACAACAAATGAAAACAAACAGCTGATTATGATAAACACGCGATAGAGATAGCACTCATTCATTCGAAATTCGTTGGTAATTCAAACTGAATTGCGTACAGCTTGTGGAATTCGCAGCTGAAATTTCGGCCAATCATGTACTGCGGTTTGTAATTGGAGGTTGAATGACGAATGAGAGCGTGAATGACGAATAATTGCATCATGTGAACGGGGTATAAAACAGCTGATCCTTTTTTCTGGAAAATATAACAAACGTAAAAACAGGCAAAATTTACAGTATGTATATAATTGTATGTACTTGTTTTAGAATACCCACTTTTCGGATTTCGATAGTAACTTAACCTTGGTGTCTACAGCTGTGCCAATTTGACAGCTAAAGTCAGAAAAAGAAACAACAATTATCATGTTGTAAATGTTGCACCATGATAAACGTATTAATTATAATTAATATATTTTGTGTTGCACTTGTAGAATTAATCTCACATTGTAACGAGGACATTCTCGATTTTTTTAGAATAAATATAACTAATTTTCCTACCATTATGTTATAACTTTATGTGGAAATATTCTTAAAATCGGTTTTTTATTAGACCCAAAATATGTCGAAAACAATGATTATTCTCAATAACCAAAATTAAACTTACTTAAATTTAAGATTATCGTGGGCTTTCAAAATGGTAACATCATAAACCAACTGTATTTATATTCCATTTAATCTTTATGAGCGTCCGTATAATATAAATATATACTTATTTAAACAATTTAATAATATTTATCTTAATTGCAATGCACATTTACTGCCAACACAATTATTCAGTAGCATTGTTATTTTTTTATGGTCAGTGGCAAAATAACTTTGCCCTAAATATTTTAAATTACAAATCTTTTCTAGGAAAACTGTATGCTTCCTCTGCGTTTTATTCCCCAACATTACACCCAACAGTGGAAGATCAAGTTGAACTTGCGCGAAGAATTTCGCATTCCTTGAGTGACATTAGCAACCATCAATCGAGGGGACAATCTATGTATGTGAATCGTAAGAAACGTTCGGTAAAATGGGTACATGAGGGCTGTGGCCAAGGTAAACATATAATGGGACTATACTCCTCACTCACTAAATATAATGTTTGCCGCGCACTATTTTTACACAGTCCTAAAGAAAATGCACACATTTGAAAAACAGCATGTTCTAAATAAACACATATTCACACACATTTCAAACAATTAACACAACATTAAATACAAAATCTGGACATTATACAAGTCAAACAATAATATTGAAGAAATATCTATTTGTGTTGAATTGAATTTTTTTAAAAAAAAACTTGGATAGTTGGAATTTACTGGACTTTTTCCTTTCAATTATATGGATTCAGTAAAGTGACCAACTGCAAAAAAGCCTTAATTTAAAATGAAAGCATTAACAGCTTTCTTTACGATATTATTACTGTAAAATATTGATTAAGTCTTTATACAGATCTATACAATACCTCACTAAATTGTACACTCCCCGGAATATTTATATGACCAAAATGATTTTTGTCGTAATTAGGAGTTATTGGTGCAATTATCGAGTATAGTTGTTGTACTAATGTACAAACATTTTTGTGGAAATAAATAAGATTCCATTATTCCTCATTAAAAATTACGGTACTTAAAATTTATATTCGAACAAAATAATTATAATACCAAATGTAAGATATTGTTAAAATCGTTGTAAAAAATTAAGAATTTTTATTGTTAAAATCCAAGAAAAAGATTAATTTGTTTTTGGAAAAAATTATTGTAGATATTTTTAATAAAGAGACTGTTAAGTTATATTTCATCGTATTTTTATTTTCATAAGGTAGAATTATTATGAATAATATTGTTGGTATTAGTGTAAGGACCCAAAAACATATTGAAGTATTATATCTGTTGTTCTTTCAAAAGTATAATGCAAAATATTCTAAATATTCAAATTTAAAGGAACTTGTTAGGCGAAATCGTGGTAAATCCGATTTTCAAGTCGAATTTCCTTCTCTACTTATGATTACTGATAATTATAAACATAATCGTTTTAGTTGGTGAAATACCTCCACATATATTTTACATGACATAACTCGGACTTTACCATTACACTTCAATAATTAGATTTTTTAAATATACCTTGTAATTTTGCCACAACTTTGTTTTTTCTTTGTGAATTCATTTAATACGGATGAATTATACAGCATATGGGTGTAGTCTCTTACTCAACTCCTTGAAATTAAGATATTCAAATATTCAGTTAACATTCTACATCAAATTCGTTTCAAATTGTTCAATGTTTCTTAAATTATATAGTCCGTAGATCACTAATCGGAATAATAACAACCTTATTTATAATAGATCTAACTTATAGAAGTAAACATGACATTAGATACAACTCTACAGTCTATCCTAAATTTTTGGATAGTATTATAACTTTAAGTAGCGATAGTTTTTATGTGGAATAACGGAATCTAATTTTTTCGCACCACATAAATGTACATTAGTTACTACAACAAATATTCTGACCAGACACAATCGGTTACTTGCATTTGCGAGTAACTGAGCACAAGTCGATTGCGATTTTTTTGCATAAAATTCTATAAAATTTATGTATCAATACATGAGCATAAATAATTCATGGGAAGGTTTTTGAAACAAAATTACGACGTTAGAAAACTTGGATTTACATATATACATAAAGGATAAAAAAGATTGAACTAAATTAGGCAATTTAAATAAATATATTTATTGCGAAATTACACTTTTGAAATATTTTATAAAAATAATGTTCGATGAAACACTATTTTTATTTATTTCTTGTGGGGCCAGTCTAATGTAAATGATTTTGTTACTAAAAAATACACTTCTAATCCGACCGAGATACACTATATACTATTACTAACATATAATACATAAATACTACCTATTGTACTTGAAACACACAAGAAAACACCTACAACAAAAAAATATATTTTTTTAAAGTATTGCACAATGTGGGATTTCAAAAAAGTGGAAATAAATGTATTGGCTTTTTTAGAATATTGGCCTTTTGTACAAATGTACATAGATTTTGTTATCGCATTTAAGTAAAAAAAAAAAAAAAATTAAAATAAATTATGTTCTTTAGTAGATCAGTGATACTTCTGTAATAGATCACTACTACAGTTTATACATTAGATGAAAAAGGGAGTACCTTTGTAACTTTAATTGGACATAATTTGATTGAAAATTTTCAAACTTAGTTTAAAAATGTCCGATCTATTTCCACCTTTTTTGAAACCGTGCTCCCAGTGCATTGTTTGCAAAAAATAAATTTGTCGTTTTCTACAAATTTCTGCGTAAAGAAGATGAAACTGAAAATGTAATAATTACGAATCAAGAAGAAAAGGAGAACAATGTAAGTCATCATGAAAAGGTGCCATTGAAGTTTTTAATGAATCCCTATGGTCAAATGCGTGATATAAATTCATTGCGTGAATCTATAAATACTGAGACTGGTCTTCTTTCGCCAGATGTAAGTGCTGAAGTAGTGACTGCATTGCAAGCACAAACTGGAAAAGGTAAAGTATTCAAAAGTTATTGTAAATAAAAAATGTATAAATACATTACATGAGGTCTTTCACCAACAAATCTTTATTTCAAAGGCAGTTGACGAATGAGGGCATGTAAACAATTTACATTAAAAAAGTGAAGTTCATTAGAGAGTTCATTATAATTGATTTTTTTTTTCTATTCACTGATTACGTAAGAACGTATGTCGTACATCAGGTATTAAAATTAAATTTTACAAAACTAACGAATAAACTGATTAATTGTGTATGTTCTGGCTTCCGAATTCTCAAGACCAAATGTTAAAACGATCGATTTTACATTTTCTTGGTGTTCTCCTTTTCACTTCCAAACAAAACAATTCGAAAACTTTTCACATAAAAAAAGTTAGTTGAAAAAAAACGAATCTAATTTTTCATTGCGAAATATCGCTTTTAAGTAAAATAAAATGTCAAAAGTTAACACTTTAGATATTAATTTTTTTTTAATTCAATATTTTTATAAAAATATAACCAATTTAAATAGTAAAAATTCGATTTAAAATCAATGCAATAGAAACAAGTAAGAATGTTATATTCGGCCATGTCGAATCTTATATACCCACCACCAAATCATCCTTATTAATAAACTTTGATATTATCAAAGCAATTTTCTCATGGACCATCCTTTTTCGATTTTAAAATATTAATTTTTTTGGTCCAATGTTTATAACTATAAACTATATATATCTACTTGTATTTTAATGCCAGGGTGTTGGGTCAATTATGGACCGATTCTCTTAAAATTTAGAAAGATTTTTGTTTATGAAAATATTGTTTATGTCGAATTTTTGAGTCAGTAATGAGCATTAAAGTCATTTTCTAATGGGGATCTTATTAGAGAGGTTGTTGTAGGTGCTCATACAAAACATATTTATGTGAAATTTCATCACTGTAGTCGTATTTAAGCGTTTGAGCCAGTAGTGAGCGTTACAGTCATTTTCTGAAAGTGATCGGTCCCTTATAAAATTTTATAGAGTTTTTGGCTAGCATAAAACTTTTTTATGTAGAATTTCACTCCTGTAATCGAATTTTGAGTAAGTAATTAAAGTTAATTAAAGTCATTTTCTGAAGGGGACCTTATAGGGGGGTAGGGTCAATTATAAACTGATCTTCATAAAATTTAGTAGAGAGGTTTGGCTCACACGATACTTGTTTATGTAGAATATCATCGCTGTACTCACAGTTTTAAGCTAGTAATGAGCTTTAAAGTAATTTTCTGAAGGGAACCTTATATGGGGGGTAGGGTCAATTTAGGACCTATCCTTATACAATTTTATAGAGAGCTTTTGGCTCGCACAAAACTTTTTGGTGTAGAATTTCACCGCTGTACTCCCATTATTGAGTGAGTAATGAACGTTAAAGTCCTTTTCTGAAGAAAATTATTGTACTTCTTATAAAACTTTTTTATGTCGAATTTCATTGCTATATATGCTTCTTAAGATCAGATATGAGCATTAAAGTAATTTTCTGAAGGAGACCTTATATGGAGGGTAGGGTCAATTATGGACCGATCCTTATAAAATTTTACGAAGAGATTTAAGTTCCAATAAAATATGTTCCTGTCGAATTTCACCGCTATAGATGTTTCTTTAAGCCAGTTATGAGCGTTAAAGTCATTTTTTGAGGGGGACTTTGTATGGGGGGTAAGGTCAATTATGTGCATATCCTTATAAAATTTTACAAAGATATTTAAGTTCCCATAAAACATATTTGTGCCGAATTTCACTGATATAGATGCTTCTTTTAGCCATTTATGATCGATAAAGTAATTTTCTGAATGGGGCCTTATATTGGGGCTAGGCGAAATCGTGGACCGATATTGCCTATTGTCAATACCAAACAAACTGCATCGACTAAAAGTATCTTTGCAAAATTTCCGCTCGCCAGCTACTTCCATTTGGACTCTATCGTGTTTTCAATACACAGACGGACAGAAGGACGGACATGGCTAGATCGTCTTAGAATCTAAAAGGACCCATAATATGTATACTTTTATGGGTCTTAGACGAATATTTCAATGTGTTACAAACGGAATGACAAAAACAATATACCCCCCATCTTTTTTGATGGTGGGTAAAAAAGCTCTAGGATTTTGTTATTACTTTTTAAATTTTTAGTTTATTTTTACTTGTTGTAAAACTAAATTTGAAACCAAGTGAAAACGGGAACATAAAATTTTTTCTGAAAGCCAGAACATACATAAATATGTTTATTTTAATATTAGCGGTTAATTGAAATACGAAAAAGACATCTACAAAGTTAATTTTTAATTTTGTGTCAAGTGACCCAACTTTTATAATCGATGTCTTCCGACTTACACCAAGGTCAGTGCTATTGGATAGTAGGCCAGACACAAATTTTCAGCTCTATCGGTTAAGAACTGTCGGACGTAGATGGGGTCAAAGTTGGACATTTTGGTCATACAGGGTTTTATTCAAATGAGTGCAACTTTTCACCAATTGGTCCTAGCAAAAATTATCCAAAGGAGTTCAGATAGCTATTTCTTTTAATTTTTAATGGGACCTTTTTTATTTTTTGCTCAAAAGAAAGCTTATACAATTTTCTTTAAGGGCTTTATAGTCCCATAATGGGATGCGAGTGGGATATCTATCAAAAATATTTTTGAACTTAAAATTTTTTTCAATATTAGGCACTTAATTTTTTCCTATTTTTTCAAAATGGACGTGTTTGTTGGATTATTTTTTACTTAAAAGAAAGTTTAGTCCGTTTCCTTTAAAGTCAAAAAAAATATTAAAAAAGAAATTTAAACAAATTTTTGGGAATCAATGAAGAAATAGCTAACTCCCTTGGACAATTATAAAAGATCCAATAGTACTAACCTTGGTGCAAATTTCATCAAAATCGATTTTTTGAGTTGGGTCACTTGACATGAAATTGCCCATATGTAAAATTACAACTTATTTCATGAGTTTTTGACGAAACATTTGTTTTCTGTAATTGAAGCATAATGCTACATCCTTTACATAACACAATTTAACAATATATTTCATAATTGTTTACGTCATATTGTTATTATTTTTTAAAAAAACTTTTAAACAAATCATAGGATTTGAAAAATACATGTTTGTATTATTACACCGTGCAACAGTCATTTTCACACATGAAAAATCTATGTGTACAAGAAACTGTGGATCATTAGTATTAACTCTGTGTACTCAGTTTTTCATAATCAGCTCTTTTGCCCCTGTAAAAGGACTTTAAAGTTGATAGGACATATGATTTCAAAAGATGGAATTCCAAATTTACATAAAAAATTTATTATTAATATTAAAATCTAATGAAGTTGAGAACCTCTGCTTCAAAATAATATTATTTATTTTAATTCATCAGGATTAAAAAAGAAATGGAAGCTTAAAGAAAATTTGTCTCAAAAAAGTAATTAAAATTTTTTGTTTAGATAGAATCTACAGATTCCCAGCTTTCATTTGATACCAATATTAGCATCATACAACACATATAAATATTCGTTTGAAATAGTAAATCCTTTAAACTTTGAAGTCCTTTATAAGGACATAAGATCTGATTATAAAAATCGGAGTACGCAGAATTGCTATAAATGAAATCTAGTTTCACATGCATATCAACTTTTCCATGTGTGAAAGCTTTTTTTTCAAAATTGTTACAGGGTGTTATATGCACATATAAATATGTTTTTTATTTCAGATAAAACAAATTTTATAATAATTAAATACATATGAGCAAATATCAAAGTTTTTTAATTCCTTTGAAATTGAACTAAATTGTTAATAACTTTGGTAAGAAAAAATGTCAAATTAATTTTTTACAGGATTGTATACACAAGATTTCCAGTCTAAAAATTGCAAAATTTCAAAGCTCTAGGTCTTTATTTCTAAACGTAATCGGTTTTGGAAGATTACAAAATTAAAAAGTACGTGTGTCACTAACAAATTTTTTCACCTTCTTTTTATTTTTTTGTCCATAGCTTTTAACTTTTGGACACTATTCGTTATTGTACTAACTAAGGACACCTAGGAGATAAATTCTTTACAAGCTTATCCGTGTAACATCTTGAACATGGATGTTGAAATTTGTCACCAGGTTTTTTGCAATTTTAATTTTTTACAGTTTTTTTGGCACTTTCGCACTTATATAGGAAATAACTTGAATTATTGCGTAAATTGAGATTTTTGTTATTTTGAAATATAAAATCGGAGGAGCATGCAAAAATATTCGAATGCAAACATTTTATGAACTTTTTCAAAATTTTGCAAAATATACTATATCAATTATTGACTTATACAAACATTTAATGCATAGACATGAAGATAATGGCAAACACAACGGTTAGGGATCATAAATGTACATAAAATGTCCTTGTAAGCTACAAAGACGTCACTTTTATCTATACACATTTTGCCATGCTCTAAATTCGTCAAAATTATTACCATTTGCAAGTTTTCTTAATACTTTAATGAAAAGCTGGGGCGCATCAAAAAAGTAAAATAATTGTAGGTTTTGTGGGCCAAATAAAATGTACCTAGCACCAAAAAGCATCGTTCTATAAATATTTAATTCCTTCAAACTATAAGTTTTTAATTGCATTCCCTTAAAAATCAAGCTCGTAGAATTTAGATATTAACTGTTTTTTCTTAGATTTTAATAATTCACGATTTTTCAAAAACTATTAGCAACAAGTTAAAAAAATACTGAAATGAAATTTCTTACTGTGTATTTTTAAAATTTTTGAAAATAAATCTTATGGTATGTATTTAATGCGCTGAATTTCAAATATTTTTACAATTATGTGCAATTTTTTCAAATATAACAAGAATTAAGAATTTTTTTAAATATTTAAGTGAAAACCACTATAACTATAAAATGATTAACGCGAACGGATTCATCACTTGTTAGGGTATGTTTATATTCAAACAAACTATTTTGAATGTGCCATCAAAAAAATTTTTTGATTTTTTTAAATCTAAAACTAAAAAACTTTGATAATTGCTCATATATACATATGTATGTATGTACATATGTATTTAGTTCTGATATTTACTATATATCAAAAATTAAATCACTTTTAATTTATCTGTTTAAAATATATTTTGTAGTATTCAACAAAAAAAATTGTAATTATACATAGGTATTCCAGTTTCCAAGTGGTAAAATATCCAACAATATGAAAATGAGCTGTTTATCAATTCTTTTTTAAGTTCCTTTTTCTAAATATAGACAAGTTTTATTTAATAATTAATGATTTGTTCTCAATTGAGCCATGTAGAAGTTGTTAGTTTATACAAAAATTAGTTTTGCAATACCTACCTATTAAACGCAAGAGCTAGGCAAAAGTTATTGTCATATTGTCATTTCATTACTAATTTTGTTTTTCTTCCAATTTGTTATCATTCATATATTTTTTTGTCTTATTTATTATGCTTTAAAACCAAATCATGTTAAAACTTGAACGCTTTATCAACTGCTTGCTGAACGCTCTATTTTTCTCTAAATTGTTGCAAAACAAATACAAATATTTGCTGCCGCCAAAACAAACTTAAAATTAAATCGAAGAGCAGGCGCTAAGCTTTTTGCCAAGCGTCGTAAAGTATCTGAGAAGTGGGTAGTCGACGAAAGTAATGTCGGTGCTCAAAGTCCTTCTGGTCTTCCAGATTACCACCAATATCAACAGCAACCAAGACCATCGACATCACCTAGCATTTTGCCAGCTTATACTGACGCAGCAAAGCATCGCGTACAATTGAACTTGCACCAAGAACAATTACTGGAAAAATATGCAAAGCCTGGTCTGAAGGTCGTCCAGACACCCTGGGAAGCAGCTCTAAATTCTGGTTCAGCTAGTGCAGCCTTTGTTGAAGAGCAAAAGCTGTCGTCCTACCCTAACACAACACTGACGCCCTCACCAACACCCCAGTTCTATGATGCAAATCAAGGAGGCGCTCCACTCCAAAGTGCACCTACCGTCTCCGATAGCTATAGCAAACCATACTCTAACGAAGACTATCAAAACTATCAAACATATGCAGCTCCAAGACAACAGGTATGTGTAAGCAATGTATTCATATATATTTGAATCTAAAAAGTGAAAAATATAAATCTAGCCATATCCATATTTTTTTCTTTTTCAAAATTTGAGTTATATATTTAGGTAATTGAGTTATATATTTAGGGGATACATTATATATATTCGTTTTTTTTTCATTCATTTTATTTTTAAAAAGTGATGTTTAGATTTGATACTTTTTAAAAATAAAAATTTAGATTTATACCAGTTTTATACAAGTACTGTATCAGTTTGAAACTGTATTAACAAGGCGAAACGATATATTTAATTATTAACTGTTTTAATTATTTAGTTTCAAGTAATAATAATATTAATACATACTTTCAATAATGACATTAGGAAACCTCATATTTGACGCCTAAAAGGTTGGAATGCATTGTCTGCCTGACTACAATTAAAATCAATTAATTATAAAATAACTATTCCGTTTAATTATTTGAATAACATCAAAAACTGTTGTTATTATTCAATAACTTTTCGACTTTGATTTCAACTATTTTTTTTATAATTTTGTTTAAAAGAAATTTGAGCTTTGTAACTCTAACATTTATACATACATAGTTAAGTATCATTACAATAGTAATCTTTATCTTTTTTACTTTTATGTAGGGTCAAAACGAACGACAACAATATTCTGGAACTAATTCGCAAAGAGAATTAGCTTATAAACCCAGCATACCCCAAGGATGGAAAGCTCCCAGCATGTCTTTGCCTAAAGGTAATAAAAATTACATTTGCTAAGTTTAAGTATAAATAATAAGTTTTCTAAAAAAATGCAAAAGTTCTTCAAAAACTTTTGTTTATTATTGCGAAAAGCTCAAATATATACATATAAATACATATGGAGAATTTCTTGTGATCCAACATTTAAAATCGATGTCTTCCGATTTGGATGAAATTTGGACCAATGAAATAATAGGCCAGGCACAACTTTTTAGCTCTATTGGTCAATAACTGCCGTAGTCAGAGGGGGTCAAAGTTGATCATTTTGGTCATACAGGGTTTTATTGAAATAAGTGTAACTTTTGGCCTTAACAAAACTTATCCAAAGGAGTTCAGATAGCAATTTCTTCATTCTTTCCAAAGAGTTTCTTTAATTTAAAAAAATTCTTTTTAATTTTTTTGCTTAAAAGAAATCTTATACAATTTCTAGAAGGGCTTTATAGTCCAATAATGGGATGCGAGTTTGATACACATTATCAAAAAATTATTTTTTAACTCAAGAATAATTTTTTTTTAATATTCGGCACTTAATTTTTCCCTATTTTTTCTATTTAGACCATTTCCTTTAAGAGCTTTGTGGTTACTTAGTGAGATGCAAGGGGCATACGTATGTGAATAAAATTAAATATTTTTTATATATATATTCCACCCGCATCCCACTAAGTGATCACAAAGCTCTGAAAGGAAAAATTTGTGTCTGATCCTTGGTGCAAATTTCATCAAAATCGATTTTTTACACTTGACATGAAATTGCCCATATGTATGTATGTATGTATATTTTTTTTGAGCACCTAAAAACAAATACTGAAATATGTACTACAGTCGATCCAAACCAATTCCGGACACTTTAGTAAAATAAATTTAATGGCAAATCCTCTGAGATTGGAATAATAAAAAACGGTTGTTGCTCGTTTTTCATTTGCGTATTTATTAAGAAACTAGAAACATAGAACTTTAATGAATTTCATTGTTTATAACTTAAAATAGACTAGCCAAACTCGAGCCGCTTCAAAGATTTATTAATTTTCTTTTTGTAATTAAAACAAGTAAGAATGCTATATTCGGCTGTGCCGAATTTTATATACCCTTCACCATAGTGTATTTAAAAATTCATTTTCCCGACTATATCATTATTATAGCAATAGCAAAACATAATGAACAACAACAACGCTAAACGAAATAAACACACAAAAAACAAGTAAGAAACTATAGTCGGGCGTGGCCGACCCTACACCAGTTATGAATATTAAATGTGATTTATTTTTCATAATAAAGCATTTATCTTCAATATTCCCTTGTTCCGATACATTTAAGCAATTTATGGATGAAAAACTAATTTTCTGAAAGAGGCTTTATATGGGGGCTAGGAGCAAATATGGACCAAGCCCGATAACATTTTGTGAATATATTTATATTTACATAATATTTTATTGTGCTGAATTTCATCGCGATATTTGTGTTTATAAGTTAATTTGGGAATTCAAGTAATTTTCTGAAGGGGACTTCTATAAAACTTAGTTGTGCCGTATTTTATCGATATATCTGTATATTTAACATAATTATGAGCCCAGAAGCCCTTTTCGGGGGGTTCTGTTCTATGGGGGCTAGGTGAAATAATGGACCGATTTTAACCATTTTCAATAGGCTTCGTCCTTGGGCCAAATTTCATCCAATTATCTTGAAAATTGCGACCTGTAGCTTGCGCACAAGGTTTACATGGACAGCCAGCCAGCCAGCCAGACGGACGGACATAGCTTAATCGACAGAAAACGATTCTAAGCCGATTGGTATACTTTAAGGTGGGTATAGGACGAATATTTTTGTATGTTACAAACATCAACACAAATCCAATATACCCTCCCCACTAAAGTGGTGTAGGGTATAAATACACAAGGCAGTAAAACCAACAGACATCCAAACGTAGGAAACGCAATGCAGAAAAAAAACAAAATACACAACGCAATGAAACCAACAGACATCCAAACATACGAAATTCAATACATCAAGAAAACAAAAACAATATACACAAGGGAATGAAAACATACGAAAGGAAATACTCAAAAAAACAAAAACAAAATACAAAGGCAATGAATAAGCAGTGTTGTTGTTGTTTATTTTTTATGAAATTTTCAGAGTTTGTCTCGGAATTTTTCTTATACCTCCGTTGTTTATGAACGGATTTTGCTGATTTTCAATAGGAAACTTCTCGAAAGCATGTCTGATAGAAATATTGAAGATTTGGATCCCGAAGATATCTGGGGTCTTCAGAAAACTGATTTCAAAAGACAGACAGACAGACGGACAGACAGAAAGACGGACATGGCTTAATCGACTCCGCTATCTATAAGGATTCAGAATATATATACTTTATGGGGTCGGAAATTTATATTTTGGAAATTACAAACGGAATGACAAACTTATATATACCCTTCTCACGAAGGTGAAGGGTATAAAAATATTTAATTTTAAGTATTTTAATTTTGACAATAATAATGTAATCCCGGTATTTGAAAAGAACAAAATCCGGAATTAAATTTTAATAACTTAAAATGGACAACACATTACTGGGGTGGATCACTGATGGTTTGAGCTTTTTTTATGAATAAAAATATATAAAGCAAGAAACGAGCGACTACACAACCTCCTTCAATGACAGCTCATATGAGACTGTCATTGTGCGTGTGAGTAGTCTGTGTAAATTTAGTAACGGCCAAAATACACGATGTTTAGGAGTTGCCGATCGTGGATTTAAATATTTTAAAGAAAAAAGACATAAATACCACCCTGGCGTTCCCCTCTTCATGGAAACCCCATATCAGTGTTCTGACATAATAACTATGAAAAAATTTTTGTATTCTCTAAACAACGGGTTCACAAACATATGTTTTCCATCCGGTTGGTTAATGGTTAGTGTTCTGTTCTGTGGGTTCTTTGTTTAAATAAAAATAAAACGAAAAAATCCAATCGTTTTGAAAATTTTCAAATTTTTCATTTAAAAAATCATACGATTTTCAATTTTCCATTATGGACTAATACTTAATAACCGATTTTTATTAATTTATTTTCTAAAATACTGCGTTTTTGAACAACACTTTTTTGGCTCATTTGAATAGGTTCATCATCTTTAATTGACAAAACTACAACAAAATGCATTTTTCATGAAACTTTTTTATTTTTGTAAACATTTTTACAATGTTTTAGAAAAGATTTAGTAAGGAACATATCCGCCGTTACTTGATATAACAGCGAAAATTCGAGATGATAAAAAGTTGTAAAGATTCTTAAGTAATGGCAAGGAAATTTGTCAAATTCATAATGTTATTCGCAATTTTATAAGAAAACAGTCTGAATATTAAGAAAACATAAATTGAACTACATATGAAGTCATAACAAAAGCGGACAGAAGAGATTTCATAAAATTTGCCTCCAAGTCAAGTGATTCTGCAGCAAAAATTAAAGAAAAAGTGCGTATTACAGCAAGCCTAGCTATAGTAAAACGAATTGTAAGAAGGGCCAAGGCTTTAAAAATATTGAAAAATAATTAAAACCTATTCCAATTGCCACTCGTAAAGAGAAAACCTCTTCAGTTTGCTCGTGAACACATGGTTATAAAAATCAATATCAACATCTTGTTTCTTCGGATGTAAAAAAGTTAAATTCGAAAGGTCCAGATCGATAATAATCATTATTTTTATGATTTTCTAAAGGAAGAGCTCTACCTGAGTCGTCTGCATAGCTGTGGAGGATGTGGGATGTAGTGGGAGCAATTTCATATTATAAACATGTGAGCTTCAATTTCTTTCATCTAGTAAGAATTGTAATGCCATACTGGAAACAGCTTTTTCAGATTTTCGGATATCTTTGAACCCTTGCCGTGGATATTTCAAAAATATAATGCCCGATCCATACCGCCAGGACTGTAAAAGGGTGAATTCGAAGCCAGAATGTAAAAATTTTGGAGTGGCCTCCATAATCTTATCACCTATTTATTATTGAAAAGGTTTCGGATTTTCTTTCTCGTAATGTGTATAGGTCGGGTGAATTCTCAGCCAGAATGTAAAAATTTTGGAGTGGCCTCCATAATCTTATCACCTATTTATTATTGAAGAGGTTTCGGATTTTCTTTCTCGTAATGTGTATAGGTCGGGCAGACAGTATGACACAAAATAAGCCTAAATTAAAGGAACTAAAAAGGCTTGGACCTAAATTTCCTTGCCATTACTTAAGAATCTTTATAACTTTTTATCATCTCGAATTTTCGTAACGGCGGATTTGTTCCTTACTAAATCTTTTCTAAAACCTTGTAAAAATGTTTATAAAAATAAAAAGTTTCATGAAAAATACAATTTGTTGTTGTTTTTGTCAATTAAAGATATGAACCTATTCAAATGAGCCAAAAAAATATTGTTCAAAAGCGTAGTATTTTAGAAAAAAAATTATTAAAAATCGGTTATTAAGTATTGCACTAATGTTTGTCTATCTAGTGATATATAAGACATCATGGTATTAATTAAAATTTTAATATGACCAATTAGTTCATTATATTTTGCAAAAAATTAATTTGAATGTTTTTGAATGTCTTTCCTTCAAAATTTTCCTTACTTAGGGAGTTTTAGTTAAGATCAATTTCTATGTCTCGGGTTTAATGTGAAATGAGTACTGTTTGATATTAATGTTGTATTAATATCCAACAAAAAAATATTATACAATTCGATTTTTTGGTCAATCACTTTTATATTTAGAACAGTTATAAAAATACTGATCTTTTTGTCCAAGTCTGACTGCTTTTAAATATTTTGTACATATGTATGTTACGAAAATACTCAGATCAGGATACTAATATTGTATTAATGTTCAACAAAAAAATATTATACAATTCGATTTTTTGGTCAATCACTTTTATATTTAGAACAGTTATAAAAATACTGATCTTTTTGTCCAAGTCTGACTGCTTTTTAATATTTTGTACATATGTATATTATGAAAATTTAGTCGAATATGGACATCAAAGCAACATTGAAATAAATCTGATGTTAAATGAGATAAGACAAGTAAACGAAGATACCAAATCGTGTGAAGAATTCAGCACAACGGATGAAACTGAGTTAGTCAATTTAATTTGCGATAATCATCTACATAATGCCACACATGTCTCTAAACATACTCTCTCCACGGAAGAGCATCAGTTCGTAAATCATTTAATCAAATCTCCGGAACTTAGGGTGTCTCCCATACCTATTAGTACTCAAGTTATATACGATAACGCCGTCCTGGAACTTCAAATGAAGCAACAGCAACAATTATCCCATAAACATATTGAAATCTGTGATAAGCAAGACGAAAATGATGATGAAAAGGAAGAAAAAGTTAATGTTCGCAAACAACTGCAGCAGTACGAAGATTTACATCGGCAGTTTGCAAAACAAATAGAACAAGAGGAACTGCTACAAAAGAAACATGAAGCAGCTAAATTGAAAGCATTGCAGAATAATATTAAAAAGTTGACTATCAGTAACAGCAATCAAAGTATTATTGGTGCCAATGTAACGAATGGCTCGCCCCAAACAGATTCACAACAAATAACTCAACAACAGCAGCAAGAAGAGGAAGACTATATTAAGATTCCTGTAAAAGAACTAATAACTAATTTTGAACAGCAGTGCTTGCAAGATGAAAAACTTAATACGCAGCCAGCTCCCTCTTTAAAGGACAATTTAAACTTGGAGCTGGAAAAATATGTTGATAAAACCGAAATAACTAAGAATAACAATGAAGGCAAGATAAAAATATTCCTCTGTGAATTCCAAAGAGTCCATACATTCCTTTTTATTTGTGATTAAATTCCAGTTACTTTCTTAATATTCGTATTAGGAAAATATTTAATTGTTCCTTTTGCCTCCCCAAATCCCTTAGAAGTATGTATGTATGTATGTATGTATGTATGTATGTATGTATGTATGTATGTATGTATGTATGTATGTATGTATGTATGTATGTATGTATGTATGTATGTATGTATGTATGTATGTATGTATGTATGTATGTATGTATGTATGTATGTATGTATGTATGTATGTATGTATGTATGTATGTATGTATGTATGTATGTATGTATGTATGTATGTATGTATGTATGTATGTATGTATGTATGTATGTATGTATGTATGTATGTATGTATGTATGTATGTATGTATGTATGTATGTATGTATGTATGTATGTATGTATGTATGTATGTATGTATGTATGTATGTGTGTATGTATTAACATGACATACCATTACTTAAAAAGATTACATACAAAATGCAACACTTTTTCCGAAAAGGAAAACGTAATATAGGCTGAGAGTGTTCTGTGAACTAAAGATAAACGTTGTTTAATTTGTAAATCTTGACTAAACCAATTATTTTATAAAACTTTTAAATTTGATTACATATATATTTCCTTTTTTAGATTTGTACATGCCCAAGGAAATACCATTGCAAAGTTATGCACCACCACCAGCAGCATCTATGCCCGCATCAGTGTCACCACCTTTCTCCACGAATATGTACGAATCGAATCAATTCAATACCTACAAACCACAAAACGCTTCACCTTTATCGCCATATTCAGTACCAGAACCTGCCCCGGCTATGAACAGTTCTAAACCTTACGGAGGAACCAGTAGTTTCCCAATAAGCAAGCCATATCAGCAAGGATTCTCGTCATCATATGGTGGCAACAATCAACCACCAAAGCAGCAGTACTTACCACCACAAAGCTATCAAACTATACCTCAAAGCACCAGCCAAAATGCCCCCCAGGTTAGCTTTAACCCGTCACCATTGCCATATGACAAGTTGGCCAAATTCGAAAATCCCCCAGCCGATGAGGGTCGTTATATCAGCAGTCCTCCTTCACGTGGTTCTCATTTAAATGTTCGCGGCAGTAAAGTTCGCAATGTCTCACCAGCACCTTTCGCCGGTTCATACAATAGACCATACACACCATCCTCCGACAACCACTACTATAGCGGTACTCCCAGTCCATCTCCACGTCCTTTATCTTCCTTGCAACACAGCAGTGGGCATAACACACCAAATCTAACACATCCAACAGTTACCAGCAATCAAATATTGAATGCACCCTCCTATAACAACTCAGCCCGTGGATGGGGATGCAATTCTGGTACATCCACTGGTTACCAACATCCACAGAGTCATATATCTGCTAACAAGCCCCAGATTATAAACACTGCTAGTATGCCATACACCGATTTTTAATGATAAAATTAAACTCGAGGCAAAAATGTGTAACAGTGAAATTTCTCTCTCTCTCCCTTTCTAAAAACACTTGCACACACTCTCTCTCTCTTGCTCAACTACATATGTTTAATAAAAAAAAATAATTATAAAAATTGTGTTTTGTAAATATGATTGAATATATTTTATAAAATACATTCTTATTAACAATATGTACTTAATTTCAGGGAGAGTAATTGTTTATTGTTTATATTATAATAATTGTTATTGTTTCAGATATTACGAATACTTATTTATTATTTATTTAATTTTTAAATTATTAATTAATATTTGTTTAGTTTACTTTGTTTAAAAACTTTAAGTGTCGTGGATAAAGATTTTAATTATCATCATATTAATTAAAATGGAAACCTTATGCCGAAATATTTTAAATAAAATTACTGCTCGAACTTATAACATCTCATTGGCAATAAAAATAATATATTGTGTCTTTAAATCGGTAATTCCAATACTCTCTATGCTTGTAATAAATATCAAATAAATTTAGAAAATATATAGGACAAGTTGGAACTTTATTTTGTTATTTTTTTAAAGAAATTTTTCAAACGTAAAGATTGTACATTGAAAAATCTTTAACACACAATGATAAACAAATTTACAACAGAGCCGGGCATTTTCTATGCACGGTGCTTTTCGGCAGTTACTAAAGCTGGAGGTCCACACTACGCGTCTTCGCGCAAAGCATTTCGTGCATTTCATACCTTCTTTGCATCCTACGAATCAAGTTACATGCTACGCTTCTTAAGCGTCAATATTTTGCTTTATTTACAAAGAACCTCGCCAACCATCTTAAAATCAATAAATTTAAATTATTTGTTGCTAAATGTATCTTATTATGCGTTTATTTAAAATAGAATTTAAAAACCAAAAACTTTTAAATTTTGGAAATGCGATTTTTAGGCTGTACTCGGAGGGTACAGTGGGACAATATGGGTATAAATACAAATAAATAAAAAAAAAATTAAAAGCTATTTTCATTATTTTTTTTTTAAATTTTGGTACTTTCCTACATAAAAAATAGAAAATAGAATTAGATTAACTGTGAAATGTATTGAAATTCTCTGTGAATTACGTTATTCAGTGCACTTTTTCGACACTTTATTGATATTTCTGCTAAAATAATTTAATTTAAATTCATCAAATGGAATGTATTCTTCACTGGCACTACTGTCACACAATTCCCATTCACAAAAAATGTTGTCTGGTAGATCCTCCAGTAATTAACTGTATTTATGAAACCTTTTTCATCAATTTATTGGCAATATTTGGAAAAATTATGAAAAAACTAAATGTGAACTGATTTTATCATAAAGATAATCAGTAGCACCTACAAGCCTTCTAAAATTGTTACCAAAAAGGACATAAACATCCATAAAAGATAATTAAGATATATGAAAAAATAGGCATGGGTAGCCCCATTGTACCCCAGCGAGTACACCAATATTTAAGGTTATAAAAAAAAACTTAAAAACTAATTTTTAATTATTTTTTAACAAAAATAAAATAATTACTACAAAAGCCCGTTCATAGTCATAAGTTAAAAAAGAGCAAATCTAATAACAAAACATATTTAAAACACTATACTCAAAGTCAACTCTATTAGATATTATTTAAGAGATGTTCTTTGTACCCTCCCAATACCTGTGTTCTAAAAAAATATTATTTGGAACCCCTTGAAATCACTTAACCTAATCCATTATTTAGCCTAGAAAACACATTACCTTAAATTCTGCTCGACATTATAGTAATTCAACTATTTATTCATTCAAATTATTTCGAACATCATCAATTAACAAATTTCAACGTTTGATCTCATAAGACTGAGATTATCTAATAATTTTATAAAATTTTCTAATAGTTTTATAGTATTCTTTCTTATTTAATAAACCTTCAACAATAAAAATAATACCACGTAATTGGTGACAAAATAGTGAGAGCATTCATTAACAAAATATAATTTTAATAAATTTGAAATATAAACCGAAAACGTTTATGTTTAATGACTGACTAGCTATTCGTACCTGGCGTTTTAAGTGATTTCATAATTTCAAGTCTATAGCACATCATTTTACTTTTTATCCTGAAATTATGAATTTCAACTTACTAAAATATACATTCCAAATAAATATTTTTGTATTTACATAAAATTACTCAAAATTCGTTAATTTCAAACAACTTTCACTAAAGTTACCAAAAAAGTACAAAACACAAAAATGTTTTTATACCCTACACCACTATAGTGGAGAGGGTATTATACGTTTGTGCTGATGTTTGTAACACACCAAAATATCGGTTCATTATTTCACCTAGCCCCCATACAACCGTACCTCCCGATTTGGGATTTTTATGCCATTATTACGTCAAATATACTATTATCTCTCTAAAAATTGGCAGAAATATGTTTTATATAAGAATAAATGACACTACAGATTTTCGTAATGATCGGCCCTTATCTGACCCTAGCCCCCATATGATACAAATGGTTACAATTGACTTGTAACCATTTGTATCGCAATGAAACTCAACATAACTAACTGTTATTTAAAAAATATATCCTTTTCTCAAATTGAATGAGTATCGGCCCATGTTTGACCTATACTCCTATATAATTATATATTATATTTAGAAAATTAGTTTTTTGTATCAATAAATTGTTTAAATACCTTGGGATTAAGGTAAAATTCAACATAAAAGCTTCTTCAGGCTCGAGTACGAGTCCCACTTGGGGATAAGTTATTTTCCAAATTGTAATGATATTTTTAATTATAAGAATACTGAAAATTTAATTTTTCGGACACAACAGCAGAATGGAATGCATTTTCGGGCCCGCTACGGCTCCTCATCAGCAATCTTCTTGTGCCATATGCTATGTCACTTGTAAACATCATCTATTTAACTCACAAGTGTTGAAGAAATGGTATATGGGAATTGTAACCAAGTCCTTATTCCAATTACATTCTACTTTATTGAGTTAGATCGAAGTTTACGAGCTTTTTCAGTGTTGTATTCTTATCTATTATTACTCTTTGTCGCTGCTTTAGCCAACTGTCAGTTAGCAATTAAGCAACACTTTTTGTATGTTTTTGTTTATTTCTGTTCAACACTTGTGAGTTAAATAAATGATGTTTACAAGTGACATAGCATATGGCATAGCATATATGAATTGAACCTTGGTTCCGATATATTTAAACAAATTTTCTGAGAAAGGCTTTATACATTTGTATTTGTATGGGGGCTAGGTAAAATAAAGGACGGACTTTAACTATTTTTAAAAGGTTTTGTCATTGGATCAAAAAGCATACGTGCTTATTGTTTTGAAAATTTCAACCTCTACCAGACGGTCAGACTTACATGGCTTAATCGATTCAGAAAATGATTCTTAACCGATTAGTATACTCAAACGTAGTATAGTGGAGTAGGGTAAAAAATTAAGTTCCGTGGTATTAAGATAAATAGAAATGCTAAAAATTATTTCAAAATTTTTGTAAATTTAGCAATATGTAATGTCTCTAACTTTAAAATATTTCTCAATGCAAAAATTAAATTACATTAGTAGTTGCTCATGGTGTAAAACCTATATGTGTTTTCGGAAGGAAAAGTATAATATTTCTAGTTTTACTTTTTTTATATAAACAATTTTATTTGTCTTCCTCAAAACACTTTAAAAATTGTTTTCATGTCGCAAAAATATTGAAAATTCCGTTGAAATAATTTTAAATCTCGGTGAATAGATGTCAGGTTTATAACTCATACTTCCAAGATTTTTTCGGAAAAATATTTATGAGAATGTATGAAATGAATTGAGAGATATATTCAAATCCGTAAGTTTGGAATTCTGGAATGAATTGTCAATAATTTTTTCGAAATTTATGTATTTTTTTTAATTTAAAAAAAAAAACGTGACAAAATTAATGCGAAAGTCTTAATTATATATTATTGATTTTTTTCAATACTTATTTTCAATAAATTAACAAGAACTCCTGAAGGATGATAAAAATTAAAACCTCTTTATTTCGTATAGGAAAAAATAAAATTTGTTAATTAACCGTCATACATAGCCTTTTCCAAAATTATATGTTTCATTCCATGAGCAAACAAAAAGTATTAGTTTGTAAAATAGCGTATTGAACGCATTTGTAAAAATATATGAAATCTCTTGAATTATTTCTATCACCACGAATTTAAAAAAGCATTGGGTTCCAGAAAAATATTTTAGAATAGAACATTTTGAAGTATTCACTTGTATTGGCGTAATTTTATTTATCTTCATGAATCTTTTTGCAGTATTTTGAATTACTATGTAAATTATTACATTTCTGATTTTTTCCAGTTAAACCTATTTCCAATATAAATCTTTTTTGCAAAAATTTGCCTTTTTTTTTTTGTTTATATACTAAAATTGCAAAAAAAGCTAAAAATATTTTATAAAAATGCTAAATAAAATGCCAAATGCTAAATTAAAATTTTACAGCTAAATCAAAATAAAAAATCCTAAATCTAGCTGCAAAAATGCCAAAATGGTCACACTGATCTTAGTATAAAAACACACACTGGGCACAGTGAATAAATGTACGTGTTTAATGCAATGCTGTTGATTCACGACTGAATATGATCAACAGAAATAAACAAACACATACAAAAAACAAAAAGTGTTGCTTAATTGCTGACAGTTGGCTAAAGCAGCGACAGAGAGTAAATGATAAATAAGAATACAACACTGAAAAAGCTCGTAAACTTCGATCGAACTCAATAAAGAAGAATGAAATTGGAATAGGGACTTGGTTACAATTCCCATATTCCATTTCTTCAACACTTGTGAGTTAAATAGATGATGTTTACAAGTGGCATAGCATATGGCACAAGAAGATTGCTGATGAGGAGCCGTAGCGGGCCCGAAAATGCACTGCATTCTGCTGTTTTGTCCGAAAAATGAAATTTTCAGTATTCTTATAATTAAAAATATCATTACAATTTGGAAAATAACTTATCCCCAAGTGGGACTCGAACTCGGGCCTGAAGAATATTCAATTAATAATATTAATATCACAGTTCGAAGAAATCAATAATCTTAATATAAAAGTTTCTTTATGAAAAATAAACACTTATTGGTAATACTTTTTGAAGGTATTTTCTATGCAATGTATACAGCGTAAAAACTTGTTAGTAAACAGTATTATATTTATAATACATACATACATACATACATACATACATACATACATACATACATACATACATACATACATACATACATACATACATACATACATACATACATACATACATACATACATACATACATACATACATACATACATACATACATACATACATACATACATACATACATACATACATACATACATACATACATACATACATACATACATACATACATACACACATACATACATACATACATACATACATACATACATACATACATACATACATACATACATACATACATCCCTAAAACAATTTGTTTAGCAAAAATAGACAGCAAACAC